AATTTGTCTCACAAGCCCACATGAATTGACTAGAAACTAGTATGAATACACTAACTGAAACTCATGAGGTGACAAAAACCTTGCTATTTTATTAATTGGATAGAAACCTAACATAAAGGAATATCAATACATTATATGATATTTGAAGAAAGCTTTCTTTCTTTGTAAAAATGAGAGCAATGGATGCAAGAGAAACGTGGAAGGGAATTATGGATAAAATGAGGTAAAATACCACCAAGAAACAGTTATAATTCAAAACAATATTATTGGAATTGTATGAGGCAGAGCTAGCGTAGTAGTGCGTGCCTGTCATCCTCAAATCATAATGCAGGAATGTGAGAATTGTGAATTTGAAAACCTTTGTCTCAAAAAAAAAAGCAAATTTTGTTTCAGACACAAGAGACACACATAGGGCAAGAACAGATTGCTATCAAGAGGATAAAGAGAAAAAGAAAAGATCAAGATGTTTAACATGTAATTCATGAATACATGCTCTGCAGAAGCCAAACAGAAAGCCCCCTGAATTTAATAGAGTTGTTTTGGTTGAGAGATTTCTGATTTTGATTTGCTAGCATATAAATAAATGAGGGTGTGGAGGAGTGCCAGATGGAGGCGTACAGTTGCACTGTTTCAGAAGAGGGCTTAAGAACACACTGCTAAGAGGTGGAAGAAAATGAGTAAATCAAAGGTTGCAGACTACATGCAAAGGAATAGGAATCATAGTCATAGTAGACTTCCCAAGAGGAACTCAAGGATGTGAGTAGCATTGGAGAGTCATTCTCAAAAGTCATTGAAAGTAAGAGAAGTAGGATCCACTGTGATTTTGTAACTTGAATTTCACATAGAGTGAAGGAGTATGATGTGGAAGCAATAGAGAAACACCATAAACAGGAAGCACAGAACCAAACACAGGATGCTGGGAATTAAGAGTCTAGAATCAAAGCAAAGGAAGACAAAATCAGGTTGGAGATTCGTGAGCAGGACTGAGTGGACACAGAGTCCGGGGTCTTCCAGGAGAGTGGTAATGGGGGAGTACATATTGGTGAGTTGTGAAAAGGACTGGAACATAGTGTCAGAATAGAAAATGAATCACAATACAATGATCTTTGTTCACAAATCATAATATTTATCTGGCTAAAATGAACTAAAAATGTTTTTGTTTATCTACATATACCGCGCATACAGGTGTGTGCATGTACATATTTGTATTTGTGGGTTGGGTACCGGTGTATCATGGCACACATGTGGATGACAGAGGATAACTTTGAGTGTCAGTTTTCACAACCCATCATGTTTGAGACAGTATCAGGCTAGCTGGCCTCAAAGCTTCAGTGGATTTTGGCTCTCCTTCCCATCTTCCTCTAGAGAGATTAGAGATGTGAGCTACTATGCCTTTGGGGATTGGAAATCAGGCCCTTATGCTTGATCACTCAGGCATCTCACTAGCTATCCTAATTTCAACATTAATAGCATAAATCATTCAAAAGAGAATATACTAGAGAGAGAAAGATTTTAAAAAAAGAACAAAAATAGAGTGGTTGTAAAGGAGTTTTATGTTGAACAAATTATTATTTTCTAAAATAGAATATAGAACAAAGTCATAATTAATATATAAAGAATATACTAGAAAAAACACATGCTTAAATATTGAAATGAATACCAAAAGCAGGGGGAAAAACAACAATAACAATAAAAGACTTACAAAAGTAATCAAAGATAAAGGGTATGTAAGCTTTTCTCTCTCTCTCTCTCTCTCTCTCTCTCTCTCTCTCTCTCTCTCTCTTTCTCTGTGTGTGTGTGTGTGTGAGTGTGTGTGTGTGTATACATGCATTCATGCAGACCTATGTGTATGTGAAGACTTCTTAAAGAACCTATAAAGCAAAATATTTCAGTCTTTTATTTTGGTTTGTCATACCTATGATACATTTTAAAATTGCAATGTATAAAACTGATTTTGTGTATTTTTTTGACACATTTAAAAATCACTCAGGAAATTCATGTTTATTTTGGCTACTTTTTAATAAACAGTTATCATCTTATAAGTTATATGCTTCAACCCTAGTTTCTCTGAGAATGTTTAGGACTTTTAGGACTTGATATATGCATTATCTACAGGGTGGGGGTGGGGATGTTCTTTATGATATGTCTGGAGCTTGTCACAGATGACAGGGTCATTTCAGATCAGAACACTATGTTCTGATATTTATGTTTAATAGTGTTTACATTTTTATTTTTACATTTGACAATGTGCCCTTTAGAAGATTATATCATAGATAAAATGTATGGCAAAAGAACAAATAGATCACTCCTCTACTTGTTAAAATCAGTTTGCTCTACTCATACCTTTGTGAATATAGTACACATTAGAACAAAAGAACCAAAGTATATTTCCTAGCACAAGTCCAGTTGTTGAAGAATAAAAATACAAGAAGAACCGATTTTTTTCAATAGTGTAGATAATTATCATATACGTGAAGAACATTTATTTCTTTTATTTGTTCTCCTTGCAACATATATAATTGAATGATATTTCTCGAGTAGTAAACATCACCTATTACTTTTTCTATAGAACATATCTTAGAGTAAAGCTGACATTTTGTAGCTACAGAGGGAGAGTGGTAACCAAAGACCTTACAGTGAACTTGCAGCTACCTGACATTAGACAGAGTTGAGCAGGTGGAATGAGTAATGAAAATCAGGCTTATAATCTTGATTCCAAAATGATAATATTTAATAATGTTGAAATAAAAAGCAGTTTATCTTTTAATTTTCTTGAGGTAAAAGAGTCAAAGGTCAAAAATGAGTTGGCACCACATTTTAGCTTATGATAGTTGGAGTTACAGCACAGCAAAACTCTCTGACACGAGAGTCAGAGAGTCAGCTTTGACTAAGACCAACACTTCACTATTCTAGTTTGTATTTCTTTTTCTCAATCTTTTAAATGATATGATCGATTATTTATTTCTCCTTTGCCAAAACCTCCTAGATATTCCTTGCCTTTATAACTTCATAGTTCTATTCTGTCTCTTAGTCTCTGTTTCCTTTTGTCTTTTTCTTTGTCTTGATCTCTGTGTGTCTATTTCTCCCTTTCTCTCCTGTCTCTCTCTCTGATTTCTGGCTCATTTTAGTTTTGTGTTTAGATTTTTTAGCTTGTTTGTTTGATTTGGTTTGTTTTTTTTTCTATTTTTGGGGTCTTTTTGTTTTGTTTTGGTTGGTGGGTTGTTTTTTTTAACTTTGGGGGCATGTTTTTCTTTGTTAGAAATGGGATTTTTATTTTTCTGTCAACTTATTGTATATAAAACCCCTCAGGCCAGTTTTCACCATCAGATAACTATTTCCCAGCTCCCTAAATCAATTCTTCCACAGGAACTGCCTCTGGATAAATTTAATCTCTTGGGTTGATAGCTATTTTTAAAATAATTTAGAAGTTGTACCACAACCCTTGACAGGTTTAGGGGTCTCCCACAGTTCTCATAATGTCTTTAGGGATAGTAGGGTAAATATTTCATAAAACAGACACATTACTGGTAGATCTAATTGCTTTGATAATGACATTGAACCCTTTCAATTTCCTTCTGAAGGCAGTCTATATAATGTTTTCTACTCAAGACCTTGTGGTAGCTACAAAAAAAAAAAGCAATGAGTGTTTCTTTAAATAGAAGAGCTATACTTGTGGGCTTTCAATGCTGATATTCAGTGACCACTAATTTCATATCTTACCAGACAAAACTGTATTTTATTCATTACTGGGTAGAGAGAGTTCTGAGACATTTAGAGATGACTGTATGCAATTTAGAGGCAACATTGTAGTTATGTGTACTAGGTGAATGGAAGTTTACAGGCACACATTGAATAGAATAATGTTTACACATTGCTTTAATGAATTATGAGAGCTTTCCTGCCTTTTGCATTTGGGACTTCAAGCTGGGGCACATCCACAGGGAGTATTATCAGAGATTACTCAATGTCCAGGAAGTTTGAAAAGGCCTTTATCCTTATTCAAAAATCATAACCAAAAGTGCATCTCTACATCTCTTTCCATTGTAATTTACCCCATCCTAAGACTGGATGGTGCCTCTCAAGATGCAGAAGAAGCCTCACTGGAGACTACTGTTGGACTTCAACAGCATGCATGGTCATGTTCTACAACAATGACCATAAGTAGAAACATGCATAGAAATAGGAGAATTATTTTAATGTCATAGGAAAATTATTTTAAAATTTAAATACTGTCTTAAATTTTGAAAGTATTATTCTATCAGAAGAAGTAAAGAAAATTCTGTTAATGTGTACTTAAATACACATGCAAGCTCACACATGTTTGTAATTTGTGTACATGTACATATGTGTCTGATACATGATAAATATATCAAAGCAGGATAAATGATGAATATAGGTCAGGTTTACTATTTCAAATTGTCTTAGAAATAGTGGCCTTTTAAAAGCAGTTTGTTAAAAGACAGTATCATAGGTACGTAAATAAATGAAATATATTGACTTTTTAAAAAATATGATATGAAAAATTTCATTCATAAAGCTCCCTAAAATTCCAATTCTAATCACTATTGATTATTCTAATTAATGAGGAATTATTCACATATGTCTGAAATTTTTAGTGTTAAAAATTACAACTATTTATAATTAGGGATGATCAATATTGTTAGTTTGATGGGGTGAAGAATTTCAGAAAGGACCAACTTCGACCTTGTCCATGAGGGAATATCTAGTTTAGGATAACTGAGGTAGAAAACGTACCCTAAATATGTAAAGTACAATCCTGTGGGCTGTGGTGCTGGGCTGACTTTAAAGGGAAAAGGTTAACCAAGTGGCAATGTTGTTCTCTCTTCACTGCAGAACTACAGATGGACCAAGAATGGCCAGCTGCACCTTGGTACTACTACTGTGCCCACCAGGTGTTCTTTTGTTCACCTTCTTCTTGTCAAGTGTTTGGTCACAGAAATGAGAAAAGTAGCTAGCCATAACATAGAAGACAGGTTTACCAAAGACAGTGAGCTCTGCAGGGTCGCTGTCCCTTTCTCCCACCATATTGGTTCCAACACAGGTATACATGCCAGCATCGCTTTTCCTAGTATTGGAGATCATCAGCTTCCCACCACGGATCTACACAATATAAACCAAAGGAAAAGAAAAGGAGAGAAAGAGGTTCTAGTTAATAATATCAAATATTTAAGAATGATCAAGACTATTGCTACATAAATAAAAGGATTTTTTAAAAAAGAGTTAGATTATAAATAAAAGAGCTTAGACAAACCTTTGAATTTTGAGATGCTTTAATATACAACAAAAGTCAAAGTGTATATTTTCAAAAGAATGCTACTCAACGTAAATCCACTAAAGACCAAATTCTCATCATCATGGTAACTTTTCATGTTAACAATAAAGGCCGAATCATACGAGAATATATTTCAAACTCTACCAAGCATTTAGCTTTAATGTAATGTCATCTCAATGTTCACATGGCATAAATTCTCATTTATAACAAACATAGCAGATACACATGACTTTTATTTTGAAATACAATTTGTCTATTCAAATGAAACAATTACTTTTAATAAAATATATTAAATATCAGTTACTGTACTTTGAATACATAATAGCCAATGTAAATTGTACTTCAGTAAAGTTGTCCTCATTATTTTTATATAATACTAAATCTAGTCTAAAATGAGAGATAGTTAATATGCTAATGGCTGCCTTTTATATTTTAATATCAATGTATAAACATAGATGACCAGTAGAAACCTTTAGAGAACTAAGATACCAATATCACAGTAGAAAATAATAGTTATGTGTTTAAATTGGTATAACTATTAATACAATGTAAACTGTCATGATTGTCTTATTAAGTCCCATATAAAATTTTATTTTCACATTTAAATCATTTCAGTATGTCTTATATGGTAAATTAGCATTTGAATACAATTTTGTTCTTAGTACGTTAACAAAATTTCTTCTTTCCATGTGAAACTCAGTCTCTCTGGACCTTTCTTATAATTGAACTTACACTTATTCTCTCTTCCTTGTCATCAATTCGGACTTTGTCTTTTTTCCAGTAGATGGTTGGTTCTGGGTGTCCCCGTGGTGGCTGGCACTCCAAGATTGCAGGCTCTCCAGCTGCGACTACCACATCTGTAGGGTTTTGCCGGAAATCATCTCGCAACACTGAAGAAAAATTAAAACAGTTTAAAAACATGCTTAAGGACAATATTCCATTTTCTCTTGCCCAAATTAACTTCAAGTCTTACTCCAATATTCTAGTATCAAATGCTGCGTATTTCTTGTGCACAAGCCACACTCCATTAGAAAGTATTCTAAACCCAACCCAAGTGCTCATGGGTGAAGATGGTGGTGGAGAGCATTTACAGGGTCATTTGCGCACATTGGTGCTAAAAATGAGATGTGCAGCTGTGAAGTAGGACATTTGGGGCATAGTTCTGAGCATTAGTAACCATGTAAGGTATAGAACACTTCACATAATGTGGATCTACTCTCTATAAAGAAAACCATATATGTTTATGTGTCCATAAATGCATTACAATGAATACTTAAGATATACTAAACCCCGAAACAGGCTATGCACACATGGCATATGGGCATGTGTGCATGTGCATTGTTCTATGAAGGAAGTGGACTGAGAAACCCTGAGAAGCTCTCTTTCTTGTGACATGAATGTGAGTACACTCCATGCTTCAGTAAGCAGCCTCATTGTTTTCTTTCGAAACACACTAGTACCCACACACAAGGCCTTCATTTTTATTCTCCACCTGCCAAGTGACATTTGGGCAGCGTGACGTGAAGAACACAGACATCTCTTACAGCACGGCTGCAGTTTGAATTGTCCCTTTTTTTTCATTCAGAAGAACAGCAGGTTGGACCTCCGATCTAACCTCCAAAAATCTGGCATGCGTCAGATATCCAAATGTCACCTATCTATCAGTATAATCATTTTCCTGCTGGCAAGATTGGAAGTCTGCATGCCCTGTTGGACTAAAGAGGATTGGGCATATTTGGCAAGTAGTGCCCATAACTATTTTAGTATAAAGCATTAAACACAGGAGTTGAGACTAGTTAACATATTTACCTCCGCGGCCTTCATGTTTCCTTTTCCTTTTCTTTAACATTCCGACACTCACAAGGGTTATTTTGTTGTATGCATTTACTTTTGTTTAATTTTGTGTTCTTTTTTAGACAGCTTTACTATGCAACCCAGGCTGGCCTCAAACCAATGATCCTATGATTCTCCTTGAATCCTATGATTCAAGGACTGTGATTACAGGCATGGATTAAATTCTATTAAATATGGTTTATTTTAATCTATGTAAAGGTAAAACATATCCACCTCCCACCTACCCACTTCTATCTATCTATCTATCTATCTATCTATCTATCTATCTATCTATCTATCTATCTATTTGCATACACTGTTCCATTGTATATCAAATAGGTACAAACATGAGAAGTATATCTGTTTCTACCTGTATGTGCATGTTCATATAATCCATAAGACTGTATAAATATACATATGTATATATGATATATATTGTCTAGAAGTATCAGTAGACAGCCTCATATAATCTGCTAGGTAAACAACTATTGGAAATGTTTATTATGTTAGGCCAGCTGCCTTCCCTAACCTATTATGAGATCCATCTCAGTCCTATGCATCTTTCTTTGATATGTGGTGTCTTTAGGTTAATATCCATTCTCCAAAACTTAAAAGAGTCTCTATCTAGTAAATAGCCTCAGAGAAACAACTAGCAAAATTTCAGTTTTTCTTTTCTTTTTTTCTCATAACATTCGTTAACACATCTTTCCATCTTCATAAAGTCAAAGTCATGTAAGTTAACAGTATGCTTCCTATTGAAGGAGCAGTAGGAAAGCATTTTATACAAACTGTTTATTCTTAGAATCAGATTCATTTAAACCCTTTCTGCTTAGGATAGGTGTTACCCAATAGCACTGAGAAGCTCATGGGTTTTTTTGTATTGTTATATTTTGTCCTCTTGTTTTTTTATGCATAAGGACTGGCTTCTGAATGAAGGGAGGGAGGTGTGCATTTAAGTGTGACATTCATGCAAGAGGAGAAGGGTTAACACCATGGTTTCCTCTTGTAGGTACATCCTCCAGGGAGAGCAAGCTGGTGAGTAATTTATATTCCGAAAGGAGAACAGCTGCCTATTTATGCAATGCTAAGAAGTGCAAAAATATGGTAACAGGGTGAGGAACCCCCTATGATATCCGGTCCTGGCAACAAATGGTGTTTTGGCAGAACCTCAATCTGTTCCAAACTGGCACATCTGGCCAGTTGAAGACCCTTTACCAGTCCCGTAAAAATGATATGCCAAAGAGCCTTCGCTCAAATGGTGCTTAAGAGCATTGCAAATCATTCTGAGAATAAGTCTTACACAGATTTGCCACAATCTAGATTTTTTTAAAAGAGCCCTTTGATATGGTGAATAAAATGAAAAAATATATAACAAACTATAAGGACTGCTCCTTTGAAACAATATAACATGTGTTTATGCATTCAAAAAAAAAAAGGAAAATTATTCCAATTTGCACATGGAGCCAAGAAATCTAACAGCATCTGTAATTTTAGGCTTTCAGACTGTTCACTAGGAGAGTAGGGTGAGATAATGGTATAATTGGTACTGTACCCTCTTCAACTTGTAATATGCTCTTTGGGGTTTGCCTGTAATGTGTCTGACTTGTGTCTTCCCAGTCACATCGGTTCATTTGCCCTTAGGTGTGGGGTAAAACTTGTCTACTCTGTCTCCCTCAAGGAAAACTTAAAGTGACTGCACATTACTTCTGACAGGAGATTCTAACAGATTGATTTTTAAAATTTTTTTTCCTCTTTATCTGTCTATGTAGGGGTGTGTTACATAGGTGGAAGAAGTCTCCTTAAGTCTTTGGAAATAAATAAAACTCATAAGGTTTACGAGACAAATATCTTTACTTTTTAAAAAAGAATTACGTTTGTGATTATAATATATGACATCATTTCTCCTATCCCTTTACATCTTCTAAACTATCCTATATACCCCTCTTCAATCTTTTTCAAAAAGCGTGGCCTCTTTTTTTTTAATTTAATTGATATTTAACACATACACACACACATACACACACAAGTTGGTTAGTCTGCATTATGTTTTTGTATGTGTGTTTTTAATACAGACCATTTGGTATTTAAAAAAACAATTGGATGTGTAAAAAAAAAAGGAAGCAGCTTCAATTCTAGACAAAGAACTAAGGTACTTAAGGAATATTGAAAGCAGGAAAAATACTTTAACTCACAAATTTTTCAGAAATACTTAAAAACGGTAAGACTCACAAGGCTCCTACCTCCCTAATTTTATAAACACTGGGGAGAGATGTTCCAGGATGCTGGTCTAGGTCATGCAAGGAGATCTGGAGGATGCAGCTTTCTTGAATCTTTACGCCCTGCTGGGTTGAGCCTCTCACATAAGAAGTAGTATACAAGTGCTCATATCTGCATATCCATAACTTCACAAAGTGGGAATAAGCCAGTGGGTGAATAAATGACTGGGAAAATGTAGCTGACCCACGGGAAGCAATGTCACAGCAATGGAAAAATGTCACATACTGACTTCTGCCACAAAATGAAGTTTGAAATATACAAATGCATGTGATAGATTCCAACTGCAACAGACCACATGGAACAAATGTCTATTTCTATTAACAACTATTAACAAAATTCTACCAGTGGCAAAATTAGAAGGAAAGAGATAGGAGTAACTATTCCTAGGTATGGAGTTTGGTTTTTGTGGTGAGGAACTTTGTTAAAATTTATTTGATGATGTTGAGATAGTTCTGTGTATAAAACAATAATCATAGAATACACTTTGAATGGCTGAGTCATGAATGGTCTTTCAATAGAATATTCACAATACTAAGCTGTAACAAATCGAAAGGCATTAACTCTAAGAGTAGACATCTTTGAAGTGAGAACAAAGCTCTACCCTCCAAGGCTGTTAAGACTGTCCATTTTGATTCTATCATCTGGGTTGAAAAACTCACTGCCTCCTGCCTGGAGCTTTCACTGTACCAAAGCTTCTGTCCTTGATAGAAGACTGTCTTTAGACAGCAGTTTTTTTACATACTGTCTTAGTTTTCTTTTTATTGGTGTAATAAAATCTGACTAAAACCAAAAAAAAAAGAAATGTAGTTTTCTTCATCACCCATACACCTCTTTAAGTAAACCTAGAACACTCACTTGTTCACTAAGTTAGACTTGGGCTTAATTTTTTCTTTGGTCTATTGTCATTGGCTCTCTGGAGTGAAGAGAAGTTAGTTTACATCTTCCCAAGCACAGTCTCTCAGTAGTTGGTTTGCCTTTGCTTTTCTTCTTCTTACACCCACATTATCTGAGAGACAGGGTTGCTTAAAGCAGACAGAGGGGAGCTTCCATCCAAGCATCAGAAAGAAAAGAGACTCAGTCTCACAATACATGAACTAAATTGCTAGCAAACTTGGTTGTAATTTGTATAAAATGGCAGTTACTGTTAAAACACCCTGTACTAGCTTGATGGTGGTTAATAGTTTCAAGTCTTGGATATCTGACTCCTCTGTCTCCTACCTCCACACTTTCACTAGTCCTCCTCTTCCCCCTATAGTCTTAAATAATCAGTTCTCTGGTCTTTATTTTTATAACCTCAGTTGGAGCAAATCCTCACCCAGGTATTTCCATCTTATGCCATTAAAATAAATTAGCAATAACAGTAAGGTGAACCTGCACAATTAAAGGACCTTTAAAAGATACACCATGAAACAGTACCTTCAGCATCCCCAGCGAGGCCATTAGCAATGTAAAGCCTGAAAACATTATTGATAGAAGTAGTCATGCACACCAGTGAATAAAGAAAACCATCCTAAACAAAGTAAATTGCTCGTGAGAAGGGTAATCTAAAAAGGAATTGTAATGATAAGCTTGAGTAACAGTGGTCTCAAGACAAAGTCAAGTAAGACAGTACTGAACCTGGGCTCTGTGCAGGAAAATCTTAGGCATTCGGTGAGAGCTGTGTAGAGCTGTACCTAATTTCTCTATAGAAAACTAAACTCAAGTTCCAAGCACACAGTTTAACATCCCAATATGTAATCTCAGTGAACCACAACACTTAGAAAGATAGGGCTTTCAGTCT